GAGTTTAAGAGTTTTTAAGAGTTTAAGAGTTTTAAGAGTTTAAGAGTTTTTAAGAGTTTTAGCCAAATGTTTTATAATATAGTATAGATGAGCTGTTTTTAGGACTTTTAAACTTTGTGCATAAATGTATAATATTTTGTATCTTAAAAATTATTTTAATACTTTTGATAAATCTGATTTATAAAAATAGTATAGATATAGATAGATATAAATATAGATAACAAGATACTAACGAAGTATCGTCATCAAACGTTAGTCAGACACTTAAGCCAAACGCATCCTCCTTCTATCTCTCTTCCCTGCTTCAATTTGTTGTACGTAGCGTTCATCTTCTTCGATTATTCCCCCAAAAACGCAAATAAATTTCGGAGAATCATCTTCGTGTTGAATCTGGAAGTAGAAATATCTCCGTTAATTTGCATGTAAACCGATTTCAGCAACCCTAGGTACGTCGATCAACATTAAAAATTTCATCATAATTTTTTATTTATTTCTTATAACATTGTTGATGAATGATGATCATGGAATTCGAAATCTTTCTTTATCGATTGCTCTATTTTCAGGTTTTTATGAACAAAAGATGGAATTTGAACTGTTCACTGACTGCGCCGAGGATGATTATGCTTTTGGAGCTGAAGTTATGGATAATGTGAGTATCTGTTATCTTCGTTATATTTATTCAGTTTTATTTTAATGTCTATAAGTAGAGTTATCTCGGCGATGTTGTTTTAGCATTTTTTAATATTGATCGTGGAAGTGCTAAAGCTTACTCCTTCCGTTCATGGGAAGGATAAACAAGTGGACTTCCAAAGGTAAAATGGACTCATTTCAACTTCAAAGTTGTTACGACTGCTTGAAATTTTAACAAAAATGTTATGACTAAGTTCATATGATAGCTGCTCCAAATTGAAAAGTCTACAATGTTATTTAAAAAAAATACATAACAACAGTTTGGAATGTAATAGTGAAATGTATTTCTACCCACTGGAGCGGTGGGATTATGTTTATGCTAGATCGGTGTTATATCATATTGATTGAATCTGACTAATATAAATGCGTGATGCCATGTTGGTAATCATTTTATAGTTGGAATTTGTTGTACTCACTCGTTTGGAATATGTTGTACTCACTCGGTTATTGAAGAAATAAAGATTCGGATGTGCCAGAATTCGTATTGGTGCTGTTTTGGATGTGTGCCTTCTCAATTTTTGTTTAAATGCAGGAGCCTCTTGTTTATGATGGTGATGAAGGTCAAAGATGTGGGATTTGCATGGATGTTGTTGTTGACAGAGGAGTTTTAGATTGCTGTCAGCACTGGTATATACCTTATCTTATATCATCGATTTTTTTTATATTTGGGGTTGTGGGGTAAGCATAATTGATGATATATCATCATTGCTTAACATGACTGCCATTGATGTTACTTCATCAGAGATATTCTGTGACTAAATTCGTCATTCCTTCAAATTCAGGTTCTGTTTTTCATGCATTGACAACTGGGCTAGTATCACCAACCTTTGTCCACTTTGCCAGAATGAATTTCAGTTGATTACTTGTGTTCCTGTGAGTTATCAACTTTCTGATTTTGTTCTACTATGGCTTCTTCTTCATTCATGAATTATTAATTAAAATACCTCTTTACTTTGATTGCTGTCTCCTCCATTATTCCACCCAGCTTCATTGTACATTGGCACTTGGTGATGCTCAATCAAATTTCCATCTCTTGATTATGTGATCCTTGGAGGATCCTAACACTTTAGGAGTGTGTTGTAAATAAGCAAAATACATAATTGTCTGCACTGCATGAGTAACTGCTTTCTTACTCCCATAAAGAGCCGATTCACTTACTCTTTAAGAAGCCATTAAGAGATAAACATGCTAAGGTGGCAGGACCAATTGACATGCCCGTCATGTAGTTTGTGTGACCTCCTCTTGGTCTATTTCTCTCTATCTCTATAAGAGAGTACAGTAAACAGTATTAAAATTGAAGGAATGAAAAAATATGGAGATTTCTGATGCAGTGATGCTTATTCCTCAATTTGATTGTTATGAAGGTATATGATACTATTGGAAGCATTCAACCTGATGATGATGGTTCATATTCAAGGTACTAGTTTTCATGTGTTACCTTACACTCTCCCCCTTTACTGGCATTATAGAGGACTTCAAGACCATATGACTGACTGCAATCTGCAAAGATTTAATCTACTTTGTTGTCAGTCTGTGAGGCTGGTGTTTCTTTGCTCATCTTGTTATAATGATAACTATCACACCTGCTTTACCATGACGAGCTGAGGGCCACTATATCACTGGGAAGATTTCAGCTTCTTTTTGAACTGTTGGCAATATATTGTGTTTTTGATCTTGATGTTCTTCCATCTAATGCGACTTCCTTTTATCTCTCCAATGCAGGGATGAGGACTGGTGCGTTGAAGGAAAGAGTAACACTCTTTCTTTTCCATCATACTATATTGATGAAAATGTAAGTTCCATTCAAAGGAACCTAGTTCCAGAATCAGAAGCAATATTTGTTAGTCAAACAAGCTGTGGATATATCACTAAAATGAATGAAGATGTTGATTACTTGATTATACTATAATTTGGTGTGTTGAACATAAGCAAACCTTCAAAAATCTAGTCGGCTGCTTGAAATTTCGTATTTGATGCTTGTGAGGCCAGTCATGCATCATTATTCAGAACATGCTCACTTGGAAAATGTGCTTAAAAAGTGTGGAAGAACTGAAATTTCAAAGGAGGGTTTGTGATAAGAAGGAATGGTTAAGATTGTGGATGTTTGGTAGAAGGCTGCTAGTAATTGAGGAGAATTAGTGCTGTAGTGTGTATCTTCTTGATTGACAAGTGAGAAGGGTGTAAAGTCATTTAGGTGGGTTGAAACCTGAAAGATACTGAACAGACATCTTAAAGATTAACTTGATTTCTTTCAATATACAATAGAGAAGATGGCTTCTTTAAACAATATGATTTGTTTCTTCTTACTTTTTGTTTTCCTTTGGTTCTCCTTTTCTTCTGTTTTCCTTTAAGACGGAAAACTGCTTGCTTTACAACACAAAATATTGGGCATAGACTACATAAACAGGAGCAAATGAGTGGTGACAGATCTGGTTTGTGTCCTGGTTGCTTCTTTGTTGGCTTCTTGCTTATGTCAGCATATCTTGTCCATTAAGAACAAAACCTGCTGCACTACAACTAGATAACCAAAGCCAGTACTATCACCAGTGTACTTATTCTGAAATAAGACTTACTTACCTGCTCTCCAGTGCACCATGACTCGTTTTTTTGTTCCTATCATGGCTCCCCTATGGAAATAGAAATTCCTGTACTCAGATGTTGTGTGTCAACTGTGAAGAGAGACAATTAATCCTCTATTTGATCATCAGAAAATAATACAACATGAGTAATGATTGTGATGGAGTAGAAATTGTGAGAGGTTCAGCATTTGCTATTCTCATATTCATGTTTAGAGAACTTAGAACTGTTATTTGCTATCTGATCCCCAAGGATAAAGATTTGACTCTCAAGAAGATCAGTGTGCTCTTAGAAATTTTAACGAAGCTTCCCTTTTATTGGCGTTGATACTGTCTGTAATATATCTACATCCTCATGGTCTTTTGGCCGTGTTTCTTTATGCTTCTGTCATCATATAGGCAGTCAGCTGTTTGGAAGGAGACAGCTGCAAAATTCGAGGCCAATCAGCAAATGTTGAAGAAGATCCAAACCTTGATACATCAATCGCTTGTGATTCATGTGATCTGTGGTATGCTTTTTGTTGTTAAATTGATAATCTTTGTACATAAGAAATATGGAGTTCTACTTTACTATATCCTTTCACCGAGCTGTTTATCCTTAAGGGTGCTAATTGGTTTTTGACTTCATGAAAATAGGTATCATGCTATATGTGTTGGATTTGATCCGGAAGGGAGTTGCGAGAGTTCATGGCTGTGCCCAAGGTACTATTTATATGTTTTGTATGAGGCAAGTTTTAATCTGAACAAAAACTTTGACTACAAAACAGAACTCTTTCTTTGAATTGGAAGGTTGGAAACCACTGCTGATTCAAGGACATGGAAGTAGTTTCTACTCACTTACTCTTTTCATTATGTTGATATATTGTATAGATGTTTACCTTAGAACATATTATCAAGTTGAAATAATTTCTATCAGAAACAATTCTTGCTCCTGTCGTTGGAAACGTAAACCATTCCTTGGAATTTGTGGCTCCTGTATTTGGCGTTCTCTTGGTCATGCATGCCCCAGTTTGAATGTTGGTGGTCTGTTGATCTAATAAAGAAGCGATTATTTTTCTGATGTAAAATTCAGTTATGCACCTCTAGTTTAGATTGTGTCTGTTATTCTTTCCAAACTATCATTTCATTACATAGATAATATACTTCAATTGTGTATGCAGGTGTTCAGTTGATGAAACATTACAAAAATTGGAAGTGGGACCAAGCAACAACTATGGTCGAGAAAGTTCCAGCCTTGAGCATTTAGCAAATGTTACTTTCCCCATGAACGTGTCTGTATCTGTGGCTGATGCAGGAGAGACAGCTGTTGTTGTCTCAATCATTGATGGAAATCAACAGACCCAAGTACCCAGTGAAAACATGCTGTCAAGCGTAACTATGAGCAAGGACTTAAAAATCGGTATGATCGAATGTTATTAAGGTGTCCATGATTGCATGCTGGGACATATCATGTTTCTATATTTGTTATCGCTAAAGATTCTGCTTCTCCTATTGTCTGAAGGGAATCAAGAGAAAGAAGAAACGAATCAGATAGTTTTGCCAGGTTCAGATGTTTGTGAAGACATGGGGATTGAAAAAACTTCCAGTAATGAGAATTGCAAATTGGAAAAACAGTTGGCTGAGAAAATTATCAAGAAACCAAAGATAGAGGCAGTGGAACTAGATCTTCCTTTATCACAAGTGACAGCCTCTACATTGGTTTCAGAATCCTCTCAGCTCTCTGGGTTAAGCAGAAACTTCAAAGAAGAAGGGAGTGAACCAAGTGTCATTGATGGATTGAGAACTCCTGGATTGTATGATGAATACTGCAATAACAAATCTCTTGAATCTGGTTCCCATATTGCTTCATCTGTGGACCCTCTGTCTGGTATTTATGCTTACGTGCTTCTTCATCCATGTTGTGTTTCCTGTATCAAGTGTGTCCTACTTGATGCTAGTTGACATTGATAATTGAAAATATATATCTTCAAACATCATATCTTCTTTGCTTTTCCTAAACTTATAGCTTCAATATTTATGATTACCTAGATGAATACAAAACAACTGGAGAAGTGGAAGAGAAGAATGTTTCTAGAGAATGTAGGCTACCAGGTATGAACTCCTGAGCTGTTTTCCTGAAACTGCAGAATGAGAAACCCTTGTGTCCTTAAACGGGCCTTTTGGTGTTATGAAAAAGTTCTCACTTAACTGTTGCTTACTTTCACCTCTTAATTGCTTTCAGCTGACAAAAACCCTGACAAGAAGGAAAAAGCTGGTGGAATTACAGGTGCAAAAAGAAAGCAAAGAGATTACAGGTCCTTTTTCTCGCTTGCTACGTCTTTGTTTTGATACTGATATCACAAAGCTGTGGTTGTATGCCTTGATGCTTGTATTTCATAAACTCTGCTATTAAGGGGCTTTTAGTGGCCATGAAGGCGGGTACATACTCACATAAGTGTTTTTCAGAATCATATGGTTATAGGTGTTTTTCAGGGAGCATACGTCATACCTTCTAATACTTGGGCGAGTTGAATAGTTCTGTACATGAATTTGAAAGCACAAGCAAGTTGGCTGGTGACAGTTTTTTTTTTTTTTTGGATTGGCTAGCGACAGTTGGGTCATGAAGAGAAGGATGCTATGTTACAAATAGTTAACTGCATGAGATAGGAATCTCAGGGGAATTATCAGTGGTGAAGATAAATTACTCAACAAGCAGAATTATAGGTGGCGAACATAAATTACTAACAGAATATGATAATACAGCTACATACTAGATTAAAGTCTCTCTACCGCTATTTCTATCGATGCTTCCTTGTGGTATCATAGGAAATAAGATGGACCTTTAAAAATGAGCTAGCCTCCACTTTAACACACAAAGCAGAGCCTACATAAAAACTTGCACATGAGAATTGTATTGGGACTTAATGTCCTATGTTAGAGTCTAAAAGTCGAAACAGCTGCATAAGAGGTTAGTTGCATTATCCGTTGAAATTGGTTTTGTGGTGGGTGGTCTGACCCTAACTGGTGCACATGACTTTTGTATAATAAACTCCCTTGTGAGGTCAAATAGGCTTAGAAATTGGTCTACTTGTTCCAGCATAGACAGGATTTTTTTCATTTTTTACATTCATCTTGAATATCCATATAATTTGTCTGTTCATGCTCCCAGTAGGCCAGTACACTATCAAGAATGCCAATTTGAATTCCGAGTTGAGGTAATTGGCCAGAAGCCACAGTGAAAGTAAAAGGTGACGGATAAATAATTGTACAGATGCCATTTCTTTTTTAAATAATGTGAAGGCGGTGAAATACCTAGATGGACACTACAAGTAGGAGACATTTTCTGTCGTATTGTAAAACATCATTTGAGCACTAGTATTGTGTACTAGTGTAACAAGACAGTACGGTTTAACGTAACATATCCTCCATCACTATCCTTCTGATTAGCAGTGCTTACTCATTTAGGTTTCAATATCATATATTGATGGTTGTGCAATCTTTCGGAGCTTTTTAGTTTGTGCATCTTTCTCTTATATCTGATATATAATTTTATACTTGTTGAAGTGCCAAGGAAGGGGAAACCAAAGCGAAGATGCAGAACAGTAAGTCTGCAAAGATTGTCAAAACAGAGAGAAGTCGAGTTGCTCAATTTGTTCATGAAGCCAATGAATCTGTTCCCGATGGCTCTAAAAATTTGAATACTGCTAGTTGTGGAGGCAGCATTGTGAGGAAGCGAAAGATCGGCACTGATATAAGAGATATAGTTCAGGGGACATACCACAGATCTGCAAATCGACTTGCAAATCTTGCTGATAAGTCTTCTGAAGACAAAGAAACCTCATCTGGGTTGAGGATAAAAAAGATAGTGAGAAGAGCAACCGAGGATAAAGAGTCGTCGGTGGTAGTTCAGAGTTTGAGGAAAGAAATTAGAGATGCTATACGTAACAGATCATCTAAAGAGCTCGGAGAAAATCTTTTTGATCCAAAGCTTTTGTCTGCATTCAGAACTGCTTTGGCAGGGCAAACAACTGAAACAAATAGACCACCACCCTTGGATGTGAAAGCCAAGAAGGCCTTGTTGCAGAAGGGAACTGTACGTGAGAATCTAACCAAAAAAATTTATGGAATTGGTGGAAAGCGAAAACGAGCATGGACCCGTGATTGTGAGATTGAATTTTGGAAGCACCGTTGCTCGAAAGTATCAAAGCCTGAAAAAATTGAAACGTTGAAATCTGTTCTTGATCTCCTAAGAAAGGGCCCTGAGGTCATGGAGATCAAAAAAGAAAGTATCATAGAGGCCCCTACTTCCATTCTTTCAAGGTTGTATGTTGCAGATGCATCTGTTTTTCCAAGGAAGAATGATATCAAACCTCTTTCGGCCCTGGAAGCTCCAATACTCTCTGCAGGTGATTCTTGCAGTAAACCTGCAGAAATAATCAAGTCTTCTGTGCAACCAACTGATGGTTTGGTTGATGGTAAGGAGACCAAGATTATTGTTCCAGGCAAAAAGGATGAACCGGCTACCAGGAAAGTAAATCCAAAAAAGAGCTCAGACCGGTCATCCAAATCTGTAGGTGGTTCCTCTAAGAATACCCAGAAGGAATCAAGTAGTGGATCAAATAACATCAAAGTTGACAAAAAGAAATGGGCTCTGGAAGTTCTTGCAAGGAAGACTGCTGTCTCAGGCAACAATTCCTCACAGGGACAAGATAATGCGGTACTTAAAGGAAATTATCCTCTACTGGTATGTCAAGATTTTGTTATTTACTCTTGCAGATAGCATTGGTCTTCTTCATATGGTCAAATTTCTTATTTTCTTTTTGTGCAGGCTAAACTGCCTGCAGATATGCGGCCAATTTTGGCACCTAGTCGGCATAACAAAATCCCAATTTCAATTAGGCAGGTATGTTCTCTTCTCGAATTACATACACTGAGGCTGTTGTAGAATACTGGAAATAACTTATAGATTGTTTCTAACTGTTGATTCTTTAGGCTCAACTTTACCGCCTCACGGAGCATTTTTTGAAAAAAACAAACTTGCCAGTCAGTCGCCCGACTGCAGAAATAGAGTTGGCTGTTGCAGACGCCATCAATGTTGAAAAATCAGTTGCTGATAGATCAAACAGCAAGCTAGTATATGTCAATTTGTGTTCACAGGAGTTACTAAACCGATCAGATAATATGGATTCTACTATAGGCCCCGACTTAAAACCTACAGCTGTCCTTGATGACAACTCAGAAACAGCTACCAATGATGTTCCCACCAGTGCTGATGTGGATGAAGCACTTAGAAATGCTGGTCTCTTGTCTGACTCTCCTCCAGATAGTCCATATCATATAAAAGGGGATACAAAAGAAGATGGTCCTGATAATGTCTTCGAAATAGATTCTCAACCAGAACTTGATATATATGGCGATTTTGAGTATGATCTGGAGGACGATGACTTTGTTGGTGCTGGTGCAATTAAAACCTCCAAGCTTCAAGAAGTTGATACAAAAATAAAAATGGTTTTCTCTACATTCGAGTCTGATAGGTCAGATAGTGCTTGGCGTTCTGAGGATCTTGAAGCACCTATAGTGGTGGAAAACTCGAATGAAGACAACACGAAAGAAAAAAGCCCTTGTATAAGCTCACTACCTGCAGGTGAAGAGGAAATTCTTGGTGAATGTGAAGAATTATATGGCCCTGATAAAGAACCTCTCGTTAACAAGTACCCAGCAATAAAGTCGCTTGATTTAATAACTGAAAACAATGTTGCAGAAGTAAAAGACGACCTAGGACCAAACCTAGCAGCCGAGGCATCTGAACTACCTAATGGGAATTGTTCAGACAATTCAGCAGTCCCAGCTATAGTCAGCCACTCATCTGGTGGGACAGATTTGCCCCCCAAGCCTCTAGAAACTGTACAAACAAAGGAAAAGAAATCACATGCCGACAAGAAGCAACAGTCTGATAAATGCAGTTCTGTGTTTAAGAAGGTTAGTAATGTCTTTGTTCATTGTGGTAGAATTTCCTTTTGCTTTCGGTGAAAATTGAACCCCAACGTATTCCCTCTGTTGCATAACAAGTCCATGATTGTTTTAAAAATTCAGGTCACCTAAAACCAAACCAAACAGACCCAGTAAATCCCTACTCGAAAGTAGGGTTTTGTTTTTGTTGGGGCGGTGTACGCAGACCTGACCTCTACCCAACAGGGTAGAGCGACTGTTTCCGTGAAGACGCCCGGCTTGTGCAAGAGCTAGAGCAAATAGTTGGATGTTTTCATTTTTTGTCATCTAAAAGTTTATTTCCTCCATCCCAAAGGGAGAGTCTCCTTTACAATCTTCTTTGTCTAAAGCTCTCGAATAACATTAACATAAATTTGATGTTCCTTGACTACCCTTCCTTTTTGAAGATAGGATAAAGAGTCATTTTCTTGATTTGTATTTCATCATGTTAAATAATTGTCCAAAAAATTCCTTCTACATTTAAACAAAGCTCTTTTCTGGGAAGGCGGGAGTATTACCTTAATACACTAGAATAGTTTAATGTAATCATTTTTCAATCTACAACCAATACAATTCTTATTAATTTTTGAAGTTAAAAAGTTAACCATTTGACAAATGTGAATCCTCCTTTTCAATGGAGGTAGTATTTTAGGACGGTGTTTGGATGATGTTCTTTCTCGTCCCGTCATTCTAACCATAGTCAATATGGCTTTAAGTTGACAAGAAGCTAAACTACTCAGCTGACTTAAAGGAGTCTGTAAAAGACATCTTTAGAACTCTTTACTAACTACTGGTTAACTGTTGTAGGAGATGGTTAACCCAGTTGCAGTTGGTCTCTGTATTTTATTATCTCCATACCAAGAAAGTCCACATTGACATTTTGAGTTCAGATGAGTTATTTTTAATGCAAAAAATAACCATCTTACTTGGCAATTGCTGTCCAAATTTTTCTCATTCGATTGGGGCTTTTCTTTCCTTTATCTTCGTAAGAACAATTTGGAACCAAAAGCCTAGCATGATAGTTTGGAAGTTTATCACTCTCTTAAATACCTTGTGTCTTGAATCCAAGTCAATATCATTATTTGTATGCAATTAGAGATAGGCACGTACCGGTCCAGAGAAATCTGGTATGGTCAACGATCTGGTCAAAGCAGTCTAAACGGAGGCCCGAAAAGTCTGGTCTTTTTGCCCATATCTATATGCAATGATGACAATTGGCATATTGGTAAATTTAGTTTTTCACGGGACAAAGGGAGTATTTGTTGCAGATTCTCGTTAAGCTGATCGTGGCTTGGTAAGCAATTTGCAGGTTGAAGCATACATTAAAGAGCACATCAGACCATTGTGCAAGAGTGGGGTGATCACAGTTGACCAATACAGATGGGCTGTCGGGAAAACAACTGACAAAATCATGAAGTACCATTCCAAAGATACCAACGCCAATTTCCTCATTAAGGAAGGGGAGAAAGTTAAGAAACTTGCACAACAGTATGTTGAAGCCGCCCAAAAGGTAGAAAATAACAAATAGAATCCATAAGATTTCTGAAGAAGTCCGTATCCGCTCTTGTTCCAGTGCCAATGATTAGAAAAGCACTTGCATCAGTTTCGGGTTCCAAAATTTCTGAAGAATGTGTATGACAAAATCTTGTCCAGCAGGCTGCCCGAAAGGTAAAAAATTACGACAGTCAAGATTAAAAAAAAATGTGTTTGCTAAAGATTTCTGAAAACAGTGTGCTCACTCTTGCTCGTCTTTCGAGCTTCAAAAGTCTTACGATTAAATCTTGTTGAGGCTACCCAAAAGTAGAATATAACAATAAACTGTACGGTTTCTAAAGAACTTAATCTTCGTTCTTGTTTCAGTTTTGGGTTCAGTAGCAGAAGAAACAGGAGCAAATGATTGAAAGGGAATTAGAGGTATGTGTTGACTGAGATGTAATTATTACACGAAAAACACATACTGTATATGACTCCTTCCCTTCTGGAAAATACCTTTTTCTGTTTCAAAAAACAGTACTATAAAATGAAAACTATTTCGATTTTACGACTATAGAAGATGTACCACAAGATCTCGAGGGTGAACGTCTGAATCAGGAAACCATAAACCAATCCGGAACAAATCAAATTGGCTAAGTTTGGTTTAGTTTTTGGACATTTCAAAATTTCTTAACCTTGTTCTGTTTGTAGAGTCTGATACCAAATTACAACTTCGAAGTTTAATTTGATTAGCAAACTCTCATTATCTTTGTTCGTTGTTTCGATTTGGTAACTGATTGCCTTGAAAATGTCATACATTTAAACCATAGAACTAAGGGGCCGTTTACCAAACGCTTACCCGGTAAGCTCTTACCGGTAAAGTTTAACATTATCATTTACTTATCGGATAAGATTTTAGTCCACCAAAACGGTATTGTATGCAACAATTTACCCGGTAAGCTCTTACCATGGTAAGAGTCGTCGCCCTCACTTACCGGGTAAGACTCTTGGTCCTTGTCTCGCTCTTACTGGGTAAAATTATTGATCCTTACCATATTCATCCGGTAAGGTAATGTGATTTGGTGTTCACTTACTCGAGTAAGCGTTTGGTAAACTGCCCCTAAATTTAGCAGAAATTTGTAGTTTGGTCTGGAAAAACTGGACTGGTTAAAAGCCTTAGTGGTTTCAAAAACCTAGAATCATATAAATCACAAGAATGTAATTTTTGGCCCTTCATTTTTATCTTTTTATTGTGTATGAATAAGAAACAATACATTCCAAACTATATAACTCTGAAGAAATTTCTGATTTATTTATCTCACACAACCAAAAACAAACACTTATATCTCCATATATGACACCATAGCTGTCAGCCATGGTATCAACATCTTACAACACTACTAACATATCTGTATATAATCTATGCATTAATTACTACAAAGAATATGCATTTTGTTGAAGGCCTGCCTTCATTAACATGTATCATGATCAGCCTGCACATGGCTGCTTGATGGCTTCCCGATTTGTAGACACTCGACCGGCGGCACCGCTGGCGATACCAGCTCTCCAAACGTCTTCCAGCAGAATGGGTCATATAGATGGTACCGTTCTTGAACTGGTTTTAGGTTTATACCGTTTAGATTCACATCGGTGCACGGCATGCTGTCGCTACACGCGAAATGCACCGGTTTGACTGTATAGGTTCCTTTGATCCTTTCGTAGGTGATCCCCGATAAAGCGACTGCAGATGATTGGTTTTTACAGGTGGTTTTGTCGCAGTAGAATTGATCGATTACTATGGGTAATTGGACTTCGGAAACTTGAATGTTTGAGAACATTACTCCTTGGACCGACCCTGATCCACCCTGCGTATTTGATCTTAAAAGTCAAAATGTGTCTTTTTTCAAGAACTAAAACACACTATAGAACAAACAGATCACCGTAGCTATGTTTAGCAAACTAGCTAAAAAGTTAGTTGTCAAAGATGACCGTTACCTGCCATGTTTTGATTCGGACACCATTCATGGTGTTATGCATCACAACATCTCGAACCGTGACATTCGAGACACAAGCTTTCGTGTTTTCTTTTCCTAAACCTCCGATACTGATCCCATGACCTGGTCCGCAATTCACATTGTGTATGTATATGTTTGAACATCCGGTCTGTATAGAAACACAATCGTCTCCTGCACATTGCGTGTGTATGTATATACCCATCAAGATTCTTGAATGGAGGTTCCAACATATACAGAGGTTGATATGAGACTCTAATAGAAACAATAAATGGAGAGTAATTACCACACGAGAGATCGGTGGTGTGGATCAAGACATCCTTAGAATTCTGTAGATGAATCCCGTCTGTATTCGGGCTATCAGCAGGAGACGAGACACTGAAGTCATATACTGAGACTCCCACACAATTGTCGAACTTCAGGTGACACTGAGGGCTGTTTTGAATCTTTATGCCCGTGACCGTTACATCAAAGCTCCCATAAAACCTCAATGCCTGTTTCAACACATAGATCTTCAAGACCCATAACAAAAACATTGTCGTATTTCAGGGGTAAATAAGTCTGTAAACGATACTTACAGTTGGCTTTATGCTTGGCATTTTCCCTCCAAGCGAGTCGCTTATCTATTGTCGAGTCAAGAATGTCAAAAGAAAGTGTCGCGAATTGTGGAATGGAAAAACGTGGTAGGAAGAATGGATTACCGAAGAATGGGAGGTTTGATTGATTGTGCCGTTGGTGGGGGCTATTAGTTTGAGTTGATCATCGAACGGATCGTTGGCCGGAAAATCTTTCCACCAGATTGAACCACTGCCGTCGATGGTACCTCCACCTTGAATGGTGAGTCCTACTAGTTTTGTGAACAAGATCCATTGAAATAGCCCTGATCCATAGGATTTGAAGTTTGATGGAGCAATTATGGTACCATCAACCTGTCAAAATAATCTAACTTAAAATGATGCATAATTTGTAGTAAAGCAATGAATGAAAAGATTTTTAAAGCTTAGGGACTGAAGTTGCTGGATTTTTAATTTGTGGGGGTAGAGAGTGAAAATATTGACCTGAAAAATAATGTTTTGCTGGCAATAAGGACCAGAAAAGGTAATGGGGCCCACAAGGAACTTGTATGGTGATGGCACAATGATTTTTGATCCCTTCACTTTACATGCAGCTGCCCAAGCACCTTCAAATGCCTGTTTCAAACACAATATTTACAATAAATATTAATATTTTTAAATTGAAATAATATTTTTTAAAGATCAACAAACCCTAATTTTTATGTTCTCAAACACAAGTCAGATAAAAAAATAGTTGATATTATTATATATGGGAATGAGACCCGTCCTATTATAAAACTCGGTATACTCGTCCTTATGGGAACAAAGATTCTCGGTAAAACCGGGGAATGAGGATGGGGACGGGATCTTGGAAGTTAAAAACCGGGGATGGGTGACGTGATCACCGCATATTTTTTGTGTGTGTGCGTGTATATATATATATATATATTTAGAATCACGTGAGAACAGTCTGTTTCTGGAGATCCATTAGACCATATTTTTACACTTAAAATTTCACAGCAAAACACTGTGAAGACAACTTTCTTAATGTTTTTATTGTGAATGTTCAAATTTGTTTTACTTTCACATTGTTTCACTGCAAAGTTTCAAATGTAATAAAATAATTTTACAAGTCCCACGAAAACAGTTTGGTCTTACGTGAACCTAAACCCCAGACACACACATTTCCATTTTAATGTTTCATTTTATTTTTTATCCATGTCGATAATACGATTTTATGTAGTTTTAAGAAAGCGATAATGTTTTTATTTTTGAATTAAATTTGAAAATATCATATAAAATTTACAAAAAATATATTAATATTAGTATCAATTAACTATTTAAAATTTTTTATTTGTGTATTTTTTTAAAAATTTTAATTTTTTATTATAATTTAATTTATTGTAACGAAGTAACTTAATTTAGATTTAATAATATTTTTTTATAAAAATAATAATTAAGTATTCTGTTAGAACTCAATAATTATCCTAATTATATTTTAGATTTTTTATATTTTAAAATGAGATGTTTATCCTCTATTTGATTATGTTTATTCACAGTTAGTTACATAAATTCAAATATAAAACTTTAATAAGCTGTACTTATGCATAATTTACTTGTAATCTTGAATTTTAAAGTAATACACATCAATAAACAGTACTTCATGCATAAAAAATTATTTTTAAGAGTTTTTGTCAAATGTTTTATAATATACTGTGTGTATATATATATTATTAAATGTATTATTTATAAAGAATTACATTCAATATCTTTTAGCTTTAGAAATAGTATTTTGATCTTTCTTCTTATATACATTTTTGTTGAGTTGTCTTATTTTTTTAGACAAGAAACGTTGAAATTCGTAACTGTTTGACCAAACAATTACGTATGATGTTATGATTTTGTTCACATGTGAATATTTGATGCTCCATAAAAGCAAATTTTAAAAATATGTAAGATTTAAACATGGATCATTGTCGATTGGGTACGGTATTTAACACTTTTGATTTAAAATATCTCGCATTAACGGGAAAAAAATAAATTCCGTTGGGGTAACGGGGATGGGGATTGAGGTTCTTGCCCCATTCTTGTGCCTAGATAATAATAAATTATTTATAAGTATATATCTTGTTTATGTACAGATAATATAACTTTTACATACGATAATATGCGGGGGCGTATTTAGGGGGTGCCAATGGGTGCACAAAATTTTCCAAACACAATGTAATTTTGTTTGGTTGTTTGCTACGGTGCAACCATAAAGATATCATTCTAGATCCGTGTAATAAATCTCGTCTTTAATAAAGTTTAGAATCTTTAACCTTTAGAAAGTTGGATTGTATAATACAGTTTTTGTTAAATGTTTAAAATGTCGTAAAAATAATGAAATAAAACTTTATCATGATTACTCTTAGATAAAACAAATAAATGTTGTACTTTTTTTAATCTTAAAAAAGCATATGTTAAAACCTAATTTAATAAATATTATTAATTAACAAATACTGTAACATCCTCTAATTAGAATAAAAGTATTTTATTACAAATTCGTTGCTACTTTTATTTAATTACGTAAATAATAAAATTTATAACTCGATTTTTATTTTTATTTTAAATTATAAATAACTGCATTTTTTTTTTCATTTTATGAAATAAATTTCTTTATTTAAAAAAAAATCGAAAATTCACATCTCAAATGAAAGTTGAAAGGGGTTGAAATTATCAACACAGCTTTGATTAAATTTTATGGATAAAAATATTATTTATTTTATACTAAAAATAATTATATTAAACAAAAAAAAAACTAGATAAGAACTCACCCACTTATGAACATTGCTTGCCAATTTTTGAAATGATAAATTGCATGAATATTTTAACTGTAACATATTTTTAAAAACTTTTATTTTGATATCTAAAATGTAATTTTAAACATTTAAGTACTGAGTTGGATACCATATCAGTCGTCACATCAACATGATAAATGTTTAAAATTTTATATCTTAGATACCAAAATAGAACTTCTTGAAAATACATTATGCAAGATAGAAATCAAGTTAAAATACGTTATTTTTTTCATACAATTTGCTCTTTTTAAAATTAAAAAAAAAATACAATTATTTGTTGAGATTTTACATTTGTTGTTGTTGGTTTGGACAGAATCGTATGTTGTAACTAAAATAACAGAATCATTTATTTGTGGTCCCTCCATCTCCCCTTTTTGTTTTTATTTTCGATGTATTATTATGCATATGGTCGACATCTGGTTCATCCACACTCAATTCTACCCCTTCATTTTCTACCATTTTTTTTTAAGATTTAAATATACAAAATTAAAATCAATTTTCATTTCAGTGTTTTCATAACCAGATTATTCAAACTAAATCAAGTTTTTCGTGATCAAACTTGCTAGAAATTGAAGAAACCAGAGCACTGACCTTTGTATCATCGCTAGTTCCATCGCCTTTGGCGCCAAAATTCAACACATTGTATGTATCTGCGTCTTTTGACGGTGGTGTTTTATGAGAATGAGAAGATGATTTCGATTTTGATTTAGATTTACCAGCACCGCCACCGCCACCGCCGTTGTGGTGGTGGTTGCCGGATTTCTTCTTGGACAGTGAACTCGACGGATTTCTCCAATGCCTGCCTCTTCTTGCATTGCAAGTGTGATGAGTTGCAGAACTCCATACTAAAATGGCAATCAGAATCGTTAATGTGAAGCTTCTGAAACTCGAACAACTCATTTCCGAGAGAGGTAATTGAGGGAGGATGTTTAGGAGACTGGAGAGTGTGTTCAGAGAGATGGATGATATGGTATTTATAGTAACGAAATATATATAACTATATATATAGTTATATATATATATAACTATATATATAGTTATATATATATATATATAAAGAGAGAGATGAGCGATCAAATGCAAACCACCTAATTTGTACAAACCGTGCAAACCACCCTCATCCGTCGATTTTATTGTTTAATCTTATGAAAAAATTTCATGAAATTGTTTAATATAAGACTTTTTTGATGAAGTTGTTTCATATATAGTTATGAAATTGTTTCATATAATACTTAATGAAATTTTAATGAAACTGTTTCATGTATCTCTCTAAAATTAAAATAATATAAATGATAATATCCATGGTTAACACTCTTTACAATAAAAATAATTAATTAACCTCTCATAATTACAAAAAAATAAACAAAATGAAAAATTATGATTGGTTGAATAAGATTTGCACGGTTTGTACAAATTGGGTGGTTCGCATTTGATCGCTCGTCTCTCTCTCCCTCCCCCCCCCCTCTCTCTCTCCCTCCCCCCCCCCTCTCTCTCTCTCTCTCTATATATATATATATATATATATATATATATATATATCAACCCATCTCTAAGTTTTTATGTTTTTTTAAAGAAATATTATAAAACGAGAATATGGTCAAAATAAGATAATGGAAAACGGTCAATCACATGTGATTTTTAATTTTACATGCAATTATGGAATACAATTAACGACTTAACGCAAAGGTGAGCAAGTAGCTTGGGGCACGACCTTGTCACGGACAAAGTCGCGTGAATTATATGTGATTCTACACATGATTTTAGTATAAAATCACGTATGAATATAATAAATATCATAAATTAACAAAAATATATATTGGTTATATGTTACAAAGAAAATTATCAATTATATGAAGAGTGAACTACAAATTTGGTCCCTGTGGTTGAAGTTTCGATAGAAGGATTCCTCAACCAACGTAAGACAATCAACTCCATTTTCGTCTTTATAGTTTCAAAATTACAAGATGGTTATTGTGATTTGTAAAAACGTCCGGATTTAATTCCTCCTTCTGACGGCCGTTAAAAAATTGGGCATTTTCATCGATTTTGTTGTCTTTTACCCAATCAAAAACCACAATGATCAAAATCATAAAATCGACTATGATAGGTTAAAAGATAAAAAAAATGGGTAAAAGTATAGAAATGTTAACTGAATTTTTTAGCGACTGTCGAAAGGGGGACCAAATTTAAACGCTTTTATAAATTATAATGACCATCTTTTAATTTCAAAACTGTAAGAATGAATAGTGTTATTTTCGACAAAGTACAATAGCCAAATTTACAGTCGTACTCTTATATAAATATATTTTTATGATCATGTCATTGATGCGTGTACATCATTTCCATTTGGTTGTTATATAAGTTTACAAATTAAACTCAAAACCGAAACAAATCATTCATATTTTCAGTAATATGCTTTAAAAACCCATAACTAATTATTTATACTTTAAAAAGGGTTGGATTCACGTAAGACGAATGGTTTTTCGTGAGACCCGTAAGACCAATTTATGTTCATTGATCAACTTTATAAGCTAATGATCTAATGGTCTAAAGTTGCACGGTGACAATTTTGTGATTATTGAGAAATCTCGTGGTATTTATGAATGTTCAGATTGTCATATTGTAGATCTAATTCAAGGGTTGAGAATTGGTCTTACGGGTCTCACAAAAAACCTTTGGTCTCACATAATCCCAAGTACTTTAAAATGTCTATTTATGAGTTTATACACACTTTAACATCTATTTTTTTTAATAATGTACTATTAAAAAAAATCAAGTTTCATGTATTATCACGTTAGTTTTGATAACTAAAATAAATATTTATTAAACGGAAGATTAAAAATTATGCATTAAAAAATATGAAGTAAATAGAGGTATATGCTTTCTATGCGATCTTTTAAATAATTGTATACAAACCATAAATATGGTATCTGATTAGTTTGAGCTTAAATTCCAAAAGACAAAAAATGTCTAGAAGTCTCAGGTTCAAATCTAAAGAGGAATAAGAATCCTCTTATGGCCACGTAGGTTCAAATGTGGTGACTCCGGACTACCCACGAAACATATAATCGTCTTGGGATTAGTCGGCTTACATATCGAGTTGGATATCCAGGTTAATCAAAAAAATCAATTTTTTATCTGTATACTTTTATATAATGATTTGGATATTAATAAATAAAATTAAGAGAAATGAAAAAACGACTGAAAGATAGTGGCAGTTAATAGCAGGCGACTACTACTATTGTAGTTGTAGTTAAGAATAATGGGTTAATATTCTTTTTTAACAACTATATTCCATATTAAATTCCCTATTAACTAAAAACATGCTCATAAATCTTTATTTTTCCCATTAAAATCATGTTGAAAAAAAAGTCGTTACAATATATATATATATATAACAAAGAAACTGATGTGTGATTCTACATCAAACCATTTAGCAACTACCAAATAGTCTTTTATTATGTATTAATTATAATGATGTAGATACAAAAAGAATTAAATGTTTTTTTTTATACAAATGATAGAAAATATTATTATATTAAATAAATTTTATGATAAAATTAGTGTTAAAAAAGGGCCAAAATGAGTAAGACACGTGAGTGGGTCAATGTAAGATGTCTCACATGCACCCATTCACGAGCTTGGGTTTACACTTTTGTACTTTTGTCTTCTTAACCAGTCCCGATCAATGATGCTCATAAAACCACCCACTTCCTTTTTACCATTTTCTTTTTCTTTTATTTTTGTCGGAATCATCTACCGACAAAAAATAATACAAGCGTTGGATCGGTTTATGGTTCAAACTAGATTTCATGACGAGCAATGCCAAAAGGCTTTTGAATGAACGGTTTCGTATCTGATATGGATTTCTTAAAGGTTACGAGTTTAAATTTTACAGAGTGAGTCCAAAACGATCAGTAAATGAACGGTAAAAGCTTATTTTTTGGTGTCGGTGATATGATTTGCGGAGATATTATTGTTCCGACGATCGTTGTTTAGAATAGTCGGTCTGAGAAAAATGAGGGAGAATTTTGTAATTAATTGATGATGTGAGTAGGACGATTTGTACCAGAAAAGGTACGCTACAATACCAGCCTGCCACAAAATTCCCTTCAAAATGATATGCACCCACAGTTTTCCCAAATTGTACTTGTGGTGTTCTTAAAAGAGAGATTCTAAATTAACCTTTTTTTATTATAATTTATTTAAGGAAAATCGACTTAAATAATTATTTTTTACATTTAAATTGATCTTTTAGTCATTTTTTTCTCGAGTTTACTTAAATGTCATTGTTTCCGTAATATTCATGTATACAATATTAGCTAAAAGACAAAAAAAAAATCAAATTTAATCAGTTTACCGTCGTAATTGTGGACATAGTCGTCACATTTGCAAACTTTGTGTTGAATTTGAATTTTTTTGTCTTTTAGTTAATATTGCAGACCTGAAAAATGTGGAAATAGTGACATTAAGTAACTTATAAGAGAAATGGTTAAGAGACCAATTTAAATATGAGAAATGATCATTTGAGTCAATTTTCCTTTATTTAAACTTCTACTTTGTAATTTTATTTATTTTAATTGAGATCATAAATATATATATTACAACATTTCTTTCTTTTTTTCAATAGCTTTTGAAACATGATTCATCACAACAGAAGTTGTTGCTCATTAATTTAATGAGATATTATGTATATTCTCATATGATATCGGATGTAAGGTCTATAATTCTATAGATATTATGGGATAATATGTATTCGCCTAGCCTTTGTTAGATGGGGGGGTGTTTGAGTTTCATGTATGTTTAATGCGGGACCCATTTAAAGAAGAACTGATTAGTTTGTGATAACCGTGAGATCCTATGTCAACCACTCGTTTAAGATATTTAAATATATTTCTTAAATAAGCTAAAAGAAAAATATAGTAATTATATTTTTGACAACTAATTAAATATTTTAGAATGAAATAAATTAAAATTAGTTACCTACTATATCAATTACCTAATAGTGATAACGTTCACAATGTTTCACGTGTATCACAATGTATTTTATTTGTTTCATGAAATGTATCGTAATGTGCATTTTCGTTATTTTCATTGTTTTACAAAAAGTATCACATTGTGCCTCTTGTATGTATATCTGGGTATCACAGTGAACATCATTTGTAGGTGCATAAGGTTCGACAAATAAGATTCGTCAGAGAGAGGAAAGAGGAGAGACGATAGAGGATATTTATAAAATCCCTAAAATGTTCTTAATTAATATTTTAAGTTAAAATTACCAAAATTATTAATTTTCTAATTTAACCTTTGATTTATAATTAAGATTGGATCTTCCGGTTACCACAAACAAAACAATTCTCGTTTGATTAAAAATATCTTAAATGCAAAAAGTTTAAATTAATGCAGGTAACACTTGTCGTTACATTATTACTAATTCAGAGTAGATTAGCTAATCAAGGTGGGGAACGGTATCCGGTTTTCATGCTTGAAAAACAGGCGATCGATCAAATTCAATAATGAAATTACTAATTTGGCCTCACTCTTAGTGAAGAATGGGAGGATGATATGGTATTTTAAAGAGCTTCTAATGTGTCCTTTTGTGGAAAAATGCACGTGAACCTTTAGACCTCTCGTGACCCTTCCTATTTCTCTCTTATAGACTTGTCAGTCTCCAATCAATTCTTTAAAAACACCATCAATTATTTATATACATATACACAATATATATATATATATATATATATGTTTCGTCATTTACTTTGAAAATGTATAAAAAATTTGTGTACAAAAACTGTGTAAACCCTAAAGATCAATGTGTCTTTTTGTGTCTGTCATGCAATCTAATAATTATAAACCATCGATGATTTGTGGGAACCGTAAGTTGACTTTGATGTCGAGCAAATATGGGTTCTCAAGATTTTTGGATTCATA